GATAGAAACACAAAGTTTTCAGAGTACTCTCAGTTTTTTTAAGGCTATTAATGTTTTTCCTAGTCCTGCTTTTTGACATGATAATATCCCTTTAAGGGCTTTCTTTACCAGATCAATTCCTTTTCTACTAGGAGAACTAAAGCTTTTCAGCTGTCTGTCCAATTTATCCTTCTGGACTAAATTTCTCATCTCGAGATAACCAGCAGCAACACTCCCCTCAGGAGATGTGTATCAATTAGTTCTGCATCACTAATTCCTATGGTATTGGGGGACCAGTGAGTTGTAAGAAAGCTGCTCTGTAAACAGTTATGGCTGTTGGGGTTTTGTCTTCACTTTTTTTGGTGAGGATTTTTGTTTGTGGTGAAAGATGTTTTTTACATGGCAGTTATTGAAATCCTGCAGATTTACATGGGCATGCAGAGCTGTGGGCAGCTTTAGCTCCTTTTGGGATATTAATTGTGTATGGATTCCACGTAGTGCTAATTGAGGGGCCATGTTAGACAGAGCTGAGCAAATTGGTTCAGAAAATACTTGGGGTGGAGGATGTCACGTGAGAGGTCCAGCCCTGCCTTGGAGCTGGGGCATCACTCTGGTGGCTGTTGGTGGTGTGTCATGGCACTCTCAAATGTGTGTTAGAATTCCAGGCATCCTGAAGGCTGCTGCTAACTTTTCTTTTGCCCTATGGTCTTAGTGCTATTCAGTTTAATTCACTGTAAAGGGGAGTGAGATGTACATGGGACTCTGGGGTGCCCTAGTGGCAGCCTGGCATTGAGGAGAAGGGGGTGCAGCCTGCAGAGAGAGTGAGCAGGAGGTGACAGGAGGAAGTGACATGTAACTGTCGTTTTTAAGAACCTGCAACCTGCAGGTTTAGGATTTTTTTAGACAGCTGATTTTCCTTTTGCTGATGTTTTCGACAAAACTAATTTGATAGGGTTATTAGAGGAGGAAAATTAAAAGAACAAAATCATCCAGGAAGCTCATTAAAATGGAAACCTGGAAGAACTGGGTAATTGGGCATTGATTCTGTCCTCTCCCCTCACTTTATGAACAGTATTGTATTAAAAGTAATGTGTCCAGGATGATGCTTCAACGTCTGTTACTGCTGAAACAAAATTATTTGATTGTTTTTTCCTCTCTACATTCTTCCAACATCTGCATGTGTAGATCTGTCCTGTATATTAATCACATCTAACACTGTTCCTTTCCAGGGAAAAGGCATCAAAGGGAATGGGATCCTCCCTTTGGTTGGGAGGGGAATGTTTTGGTGGGGGATCCTGCATTGCCATTCCCTTGACTGGCTGTGAAATGAGTCGTGTGAGTGAGTGAGGGCTTGGGGGCTCATGAAGCCAATGCACAGGTTTGGTGCACTCAGGTGTGTTTGTAGGGAACAAAGATGTTCACAGGCTGTGGCCTGTCTGTCTCCTGAAATATTTGTGTCACAGTATGTGATTAAAACTGTGTAAATAGATAATTTTCCTTATTTTCTGTTCTCTGAATATTTGCAGGCAAATCACAATTTTAAAAAGTATTTCACATTGAAGATGCTCAATAATTGTGCTGGGATTTAATTTTTTTTTACTTTATAGGTTGATCCAGTAAATTGATTCTAAATGTAGTTTGCTGAATGTTTGCTATTTCAATCACTCTGACTGTGATTATTGTGATAGGAAGCAATCTACTTGCCTTGGTTTAAGTTTTGGGTATTTGCTAAAATAGATATGGTTGTATGTGCCAATCTTAAGATTCAGTTTTTTAGGAGCGTGACTTGTTTCCTTCTCTTCAGTATTTGTGCTATAAAAAACCAGTTGCATAAAGGTTCATAGCAAGAAAATAGAAAAAGCTGGGCAATAGATTTGAAATAATATTTGGAAATATTTTCTGATCTCCTATTATTATGATGTTAATTGTGTCTTCCAGTCTTAAAAGTAAGGATGGGAAATTTAAGCATGGGAAAGCACGTGCTTAAATCCATTCCTGTCCAGCAAAATGCTTGAGCTTAATTTTAAGCATGTGAATGAGTTGCATTAGTTAAATAACTCATAACTACTTGCTTAAATCCAGACAGTGTTAGACTGACTAAATATTAGAATTGCAAGGTAAATACTGCAGGAAATAAGATAAATATGGGTGTTGGCTTTGCCGTGAACTTGCCAGTGGTTTTGACTTTTACAGTCATTTTTATGGCATACGGTTGAAATCAGAAAAGAATGGAAATTTCAACTAATTTTTTAATATGCTGAAATGTATTAAGTTACACAAAAGAATCCATATTATAGTAATCCTGCACATATACAGGCAAAGAGTACCCAGCGTGCATGGCAGATGGTTTCAAAGGAAATCCTCGAGAGCTAGGATTAAAAAGCAATTTTCAGCAAGTTTAAAATGGGTCTCTATATTTGGGTCACAGATATTAACTCTTTCATTGCAAACAAATGAGGGAGAAGTCTGGCCAGATTATTATGGAAATGTTTCTCCCTGTAAAAGCTGACCAGGTGGTGCTGGGGAAGAAAGGTGTCAGAAGGTCAGTCGATTCTGCCCCTGATCCTGTTCTCACACCAGTGGGAAGCAGAGTTGTGGCATACAGAGACAAGGGGATGTTGCAATTCATGGAATTCATCATTCCACAAACAAACACTGGCAACCCTCTGAAAAATAATGTGTGTGTGGCTTTGATCTCTTGTCTGCCCACTGAAGCAGATTTCCATAAAGATGAACTGATCAGTAAGTTTTGGCGTGTTAGGAACAGCAGATTTATACCTGTTTACCTTTAGTAAGTTATAATCAATCCCTTTATTAAAATTTTACATATAGCATTTGTGTATTCCTTTTGGATATGGCAAGTATGTATGATAAAGGATAAATATGAAGTTGCACAGCAATGCTGTTGTTCCATCACAGACAGGAAGGGCTCCAAATTTGGCTTGGAAGTCTGTCTGCACGTGGTAAGCAGGCCTGGGTTTTCTCAAACGTGTTTTAGGGGCACACTAGAAATGTATTGTTTGTTTCTAAAGGTTATATTCTTAAATAAACCATACCGTGCAGACATTGTTCCAGGCTGCAGCTGTTGGGTGGTGGTGTACAAACATCCAGAAATCTTGTCACCAGGCTGATGCACAGAAGGGATTGAGTGCAGGTCAGCTTTGTACTGTGGGATCAAGAGAAGGCACTGGGCTTTGAGTAGATAAAAATAGCACAGCAAGTTGGGGATTATTGGCTTTAACTAACTTATACCAGCTAGTAACCGTGTTAGGAGTGTAACTCACATTTACATCAGTGCTCTTTATACACTTTGACAGTGCAAAGGAACCTCGAGTTTGACATGAACTAATTTTTCTTTAGAAGACTTTTCTGCTTCCAAAGTGGAAATTCAAGTTAGACCTTAAGCAGTGTTTATCACTGAACAATGAAATAGAGCAACCATTTTATGGTATTCCCAAAGCTCAGCTGGGCATATTTGGAGTAGACTTGGAAAGCTTTCTGAGCCAAGGTGCCTGATGCTCTGCTAAGTGAATTATGAAAGTAACTGCTGGTTTGAATATCAGCCTAAGGAGAAGTTAATTGCATTGCTCTTTGGGTATTACATTGGCTAAAAGTTAACAGTGAAGGACAGGGCACTTCTGAAAGGGCACCCGAGTGTCCTGGTGGGAGAGCTAAATGTGGATCTGCTAAATGTTAATTAACAATGCTCAATAAGAGGTGTTTTCTGCAGGACTGAGCCAAGGCAGTTACTAGACATCCTATCTGCTCTCAGAAAAGAAAATTTAGGCAATGGATGAAAATAAAGCAGCTTTTGGTGTTCAGTTCTTGTACCAGAGCTAGAAAGCATCAGTAGACTCAGGATGAGCTTTTAAAGCTGCATCTGTTCTTCTGGGTCTTTGTTTCACATTGCCTGTTACAGGAAATCTGCCTGTGTGCATCTTGATATGGCCTTCAGAGGGCAAATAAAAGTGCTGGAATTAGATACCAAAACTTGAACATCCCAGGCTGTTGTCAGCCATCACGTGTCACCAAGTTATGATACTATTAATACCTGGAGAAAAAAATGTCATCCATGACAACAGTTACCTTTGATCCAGTGTTTGTAAACGGAGTTTGGAGTTTTGCCTTGGATTTTTCAAAGACTTGCATCTTTCAAAGGGAGGCAGAACAGATCAGTTTGGAGTCTCTGTCATTGTTATCTTCCAGGATTTTGTTTCAAGTAGTTTTTCAAAGTCTGTGCAAGACGATTTTAGATAAAAACCTGATCCAGATGTCTTTGGACAGTCAGAGCAATCCGTTCTCTTGACTACAATAAACTTAGGAGAGGTTCTAAATAAACAAATCAGTGTTGACTTTAGAGAATGGTTGATTTCCTTTGCTCACTGTGCAGTCAGTGCTCCATAAAGAGGAGCTCCTTGTGTGCACTCAGTTGTCTCCTGGGTCTGAAGCAGCTTTTTTTCTGGGCCAAACCCAATGGAAAGGGGGTAAACTCGTGCAGATCACTGAAAGGTCAGACAGGTGGGAAACAGAAGCCTGAATTCTCCTGTTATGAGCCAAATGAGAGTCCTCCCGAAACCACATCAGGGTGCAACTCTGAAACAATGTGGGCATGCAGTTAAAATGTGTTCAAAAGAATACTGTAAAGTAATTACTGTGTCATTGTTCAGAGTTCTGAGTGCTAGAAACCATAACTACCTTTCTAAATGAGGGAAATGCTTTACCTCTAGCAACTCTTATCAGGAAATATTGAAGGTTCAGTTGCAGTGCTTTGGAATTTCTCTCTACTTTAACCTTCTTGTAGTGGATCATTATTAAAGTTTCTCTGAGTAGATGACTGAAAGCAATAACCTGTTCGTGTCGAGGCAGTGCACTGATGTCTGAGGCAACTGGTCAGACAGAAGTGAAAGCTTCCATGGGGATAAAATGGGCTTTGGATGGGCTTCTTGGCACTTCTTTATTGATGGCACTTTAAGTAGTGATTTGAGGAGAAGCAGATAATGAAAATTGATTCTTCTCTGCAGGTCTCTCGCTTACTTTTGGACTTGGACAGACCTAATCTGTGAAGATAATTAAAGTTCCTGTGCTCTGGATGCTGTAAGTGAATTTTTGTTTGCTTTATGGAAATCATTAGGAGCCTATTTGCCTCACACAGGGAAAAAGGTGGAAATGCCAAATCATAAAGAAACGGTAGAAATGAAGTTGGTGCAAAATTGATATATATGACCATACATGTTTGCAGGAAATATTTCTGAACAGCCTTTTGTATTCAGGAACACCCTGTCTGCAGTCCAGCCATGCTGATGAATCCAGTAGCAGAACCCAAATTGCAAATTGCCAGTAAAGATACCAGGGGAAACAATATTTTCGTACTTCTGTCAGGACTACAACTAGATCAGGAATCTTGGGATGGAGGAAGGAATCTCTGTTGCTGTGTGTATTGTATCTGGTTGAGAATAAACACCTCAGGTATCAGCATTGACCAAAGTATCATGTGGAGAGGTCAGAGGGGGGGAAAAACTTGTGACTGAAGAATGTTGCCATTGGCAATGACACAGGGCAATGGCCCTGGCTCTTAGTTAGCATGGCAGTTGTTTGAGTTCTGGGTGCCACAATAGCATAAAAGGAGGTTTGAAATCCCTTTTACTGTTCAACAGACTCTCCCAGGAAAGACCTGCCAGCCTGAAAGTCTGTCCCTGCAGCCCCGTGGCTTCTGCAGCATCTGGGATAATGCTCCCCTGGAACAGGGAGTCAGTTGTAGCTGGCACTGCAGGGAGACAGAGTGGGTAGGAGGCTGCAAACAGAATGCCATGGCTTTGATCTTGTGGCAGCATCCCTTGAGGGTCCTTAGGACACAGCTCTCTGCTGGTTAATAGTTACAGGTGTTAACGACACGTTTCTTGTTTCTACAAGACTGCCTTTAAAACAGCTGATATTCTTCCATCAGTGAAAACATGCAAAGAGCTCTTCATATCCCCATTTTCCCCCCAAAGCTGTGGGAACAATTTTCTGGCTTGTAGAACAAAGAAGTTGAACAGATGACACAGCCAACATCTGCACCTGGCTCACTGAGGAAGCGAATGTTTGGCACAGGGGCTGAACTCCCTTCTGCCAAAGAGCCGTGTCGATGCAGTTGTTCAGGGATAAGGATGGGATAATGTCTTTTCCTTTTTGACTCACTAAAGCTATTTTATTGATATGTCAAAGTCAAAAATTTGTTGGGAAGGAAAATGTCTTTCCTTTTAAATATCAGAGGTTAATTAATGGTTAATCAAACCTTTTCTAACCAACCCCGTTAAGATTATGATGGTGTATCACTTCAGTTCCAATGGCAGACACATCCCATATGGGTTGCCATTTTGATGGCTTTGAATGGTAATCTGACCCATAAAAGCTGAAGCATAATATGCAAACTGATTTTTTTCTGGCCTGCCCTGTTCTTGGTGCCATCTGTGTTCGGATGGAAACGAGCCTGCTCAAAACGTGGGCTGCCGGTTTGAGCTGATCACAGATGGGTGTTGAAGAATAGCCTCGTGTGCACAAGGAAAGAGGGAAGATGCTCCTGAGAGCAGGAAGTTTCACTTGGAACCATGTTATGTCTGCTAAATCCTGTGGGCTATGGAACATCCACCAGACCTTTAACTGAATTCTAAACTTGCATTCTAAAAGTCAAGAAAAACCCTTCAGCTTCCAAACACTGCTCTTCCTCCACCACTGCCTTCTACTGCTGCCATGCCTAATGGAACAGAGTGCAGGAAGCTGGCAGCTTCCTGCAAATCCTGTCAGGTGTTTGCAGTGCATCCGCTCAGCAAAACCAGGCACAGGCAATTATTTCATGAGTTTTGTAGCTACGGGGAGTTTTAATCTGTTGTGTGAATCCTGTTGAAGTCACAGCATTCAGGCTGCCATTTCTGGATTCCTGTCTGACAATTAACCAAAATCTGTGCTGTAGCTGGAGGTGAGTACCCATCCTCTGCTGCTGCATCTCAGATCAAAAATTCAGGTGCTTAAGCACCTAATTCTCACTGTGGCACCGTGTGCTTAAGCACCTGGTTCTCAATGAGAACTTAGTTCTCTTCTCATTTTGAGAGAGCCTGGGCTCTGAAGTTGGAGGTAGACTGACCTTGTCTTATGTGTAACCACAAGAGTCCTGGTACTATTTATAATCCCAAGAACGCATTAAATAATTTTCCCTGGTTAGGAATATGCTCTACAGAACTGTGATTTATTTTTTTACTCTCTTGAAATCGATTACACTGTTTGAGCGACCGTTTGCTTCGGCAGAAAAGAAGCCCATAGAAGGCAACACTCATCGATGACTTTTCATGGTCATGACACACTCGAACATCCCTCTCAAGACATCTTTAAGCCTTTTATTTCTAGGCTAAATAAACACCAATTTCAGCAATGTCTCATCTACTCCCTTTAATTACTGCTGCTGAGAGAAAGTTTCTGCCAATGCAAATGTGCTATTTTGTCATGTCACATCAAATTGCATCAGCCTTATATTTAGGAACAAAAAGAGGGGGAGGCTGAGACAGGATGTGGCTACAAATGGAACCAAAGGGTTTTCTTAAATATAGGCTGAAAATAGACAATCGAGGCAGTGATGCTTTTTCAAGCAAAAATCCATGAAAGGGAAAATCAAGGCAGTGATGGCAGAATGGCAAAGGAGGGCCGGGCTGTGGGCAGAGGGAGTTCTGGGGGAGGAGGGGGCGGTGGAAGGGAGAGGCTGATGAACTTCTCATTTATGCAGACACCCTTGCCCTGTCAGATCCTTGTGCAGTGGGTTTGGGATGTGTCAGCCCACACCTTGTTCCCCTGTGCAGGCTGGAGTACCTGGGGCTGTTCTTCCCTCCGCCTTGACACAGGGCCTGCCTGTTCCCTGAGCTTGGCTCCCCTTGGATCCCCTTCCAGCACTAACTCAGCTCACTAAACCAAAGAGATTGTGGTAAGGAGGCATAGAGAAGATTTGAGTAGCTGTCCAAACAAATGTAGGAGACTTCAAACAATCCCTCGCACTACTTCAAAATGTAGCGTCTCTTCAGAAATAATGTTTTTAAAAAATTGTTCTTCAGAAAGTGTTAGCAGCTTCCCCATGGAAAACACTTTTTGCCCTCTTGGAACTGGGCACAAAATGATCTGTTGAAATCAAATGCATAAATTATGCATGTAATGGAGCTTGCTTGGAACTGATGAGTCTGATCAGAGCCTGGTGGCAATAAACTGAGTTCTGAAAGATCAGCTGTGTTTGAGAACCAGCAGAACTTGGTGTGGATGTGATCCGGGGGCATGCGAGCAGCACCTACTTAGCAAATTGGAAAAATACTATTCCTTTCTTACAGCTAAGCACTTGGAATCTCTCCTCAGAAGCAATTGGTGATGTTAGAGGTAATATTTTGTCCTTGTCATCAAGGATAATAAAAATGCAGTAGAGGCTTAGAAGCTGGTGTATTTAGAGCACTGACAGACATAAGTCGAGCAGCATTTCAGACGGAAGCCAGAGAGCAGGGCACCCAGGTCTCCATGGTGAGGTGTCACCAGTCCTTCAGGGCTGTGAAACACTGAATATGGTGATGCTGTCAGTTGTTGAATTCTTTACAACAGGCACCCAACAGCCATGGTGCTGAATCCATGCACTCAGTGCAGCTGGATGCAAACAAGGACAGGTCTCCCCAGGCTTTACGGCCCCACCTGCAGTGTGTGGGGTCTGGGCTGGGGCTGCAGGGTTCAGGTGGCACAGGGAGCACCGAGAGCCCAGGCTCTGCTCTGCTGCAGAGTTTGGGGCTCTGCCTGCTCTGGCTTTGGGTGGGTAAGGGCATCCCCTGGCCTGCCCCTCAGGGCTGTGTGACAGGGTGTGCTCCCTCCAGGGTGAGAGAGGAGGGCACAGTCCTGTAGGTTCTTCAAGCATTAATAGATATTAATAGAATTCCTTCTATTTCATCGTTGTTTAACTTCCCAAGACTTAAGAGAACCACATCTGATTTATGCCTCCAATTACTTTTTCCTTTTTGTATATAAGCATTAAAAAAGCCTCGGTAAAATGTGTGTATTTTTGTAGCAGGAAAGCATTTCTGTCATACTTTTTCAAAGCAAATCACAGAAATATTAAATGGGGAAGGAGAAAGGTAGTTGTTTGGTTTTTATAGTTGGGGTTTGTTTGTTTTGAGCTGAATAAGTCTGAAAATACTAGATAAAAACTGCAGATCAAATGAAAAGACTCCGTAAGCATCCTCCAGATTGTTCCTCAAAAAACCACTCAACTGACAACAGTACAACAGGAAAATGTTCTTAATTAATGTCTTCAGTTAAAAGAAATGCATTGTGGATCTCTTAGATATGTTATTAAATCTGCATTGTTTAGATAATAGGATGGGGACAGACACTGGTGCTGAGTGCTGTGTCAAATTCGTCAGGGCCTGCTCTAATTCTAGTGCACTTGCTGGATTTCACAGCTATTTGTCTGGGTACTGGGGTAATTTGGAGGGTTGAGTGAAGCCAGATGACTGTAATGAACTCACTTTGTGTCTTTGACTCATTCTGGAAAAAAAAAAGATGCTATTTATGGGGTATTTTGTATTGTTAAGACTTCTGTTCCTCCTGTCTCTCAAACTTTCTCTGGGCTGCTGCCTTTGCACCATCACCAGTAATTACATCAAATTAATTCAGCATAATTGAGTTAATTATTAGCACTGGGGATTATCAACATGACTTCAATTGAACCAAAGCTTTTATCCCACTTTTCCTGAGGTTTCACCAAATGTAAACAAATCTGAATCATGGGTGAAACTTAAGGCAGCTCCCTTTCCATCCAGTGTTTTTGCCACTCAGAACTGTCCTGCCTCACTTGTTCTCTCAGAGGGGTATTGATAAACGAGCTGCAAAGGGAAAAGAATACTCTGGCATTCTCTGTCAATGTCCAATGCTTTAGAAACAAAGGAAATATTTTAATCATCCCAGAGCCATTCGGTCAGAGCCAGAAATGTAGAGTAATCATGAATAAAAATTCATATATGGAGAGGATGTTGAACCTTGTTTAGCTGACATACATCAGAAAGAATTAAGACATAGGTTCCAAGGATTCTGAGGGTGATTTT